AGTACTCGAACATTGCACTTGTGAAAGGAAAACTCCACGATGCCAGAAACTGGTAGGCTTTGAACTCCCGTGAAAACATTGTTGAACCCGACTCTGAATTGTTGGTAGACATGATGTCGTACCTAAATCTGCCCTCATCAAATGCTAATGCCCACTAGGGCTTGTGTTGCGTCTGCTTCTTAAACCATGCCTTCGCATTAATGTTTAATAACTTGTCAAGTTCTTTCTTTCTCTCCTCAAACTGATGCTCTGACCGTGCACAACATAGAGTCTTTACCTTATCTACAACCTTGTTCTTCCTCATGCACCATATATGCTCTAGAGGCGAGAACCCATCAAGCTCTTCATTGGCTGCATTTAGTAGTCTGATGTGTCGGTCTGAGATCATACATACCCTACAAGAGGTGCGAAGCACATTTTTAGAAGTTGCATGAACAATGACCATGAATCATTATTTTCTCCCTCTGCCAATGCAAACACTAGTGGCACTATCTGATCCTCTAGATCAACAGCTGCCGCCATCATCAAGACGCCTTTGTACTGGCTAGTAATAAGGAAAGTGTCATCAACAAGTATATCTGGCCAACAATACTAGAAAGACTGTCCCGTCTACGCAAAGGACCCAAACACACATCATTGTACATGTGTTTTCTCAACGGTGGAGGAGAGGAAGTACTTCCCTCCTATGAATGGAAACCATCTCAAGCTAGGGTTGTATTGAGCCATTGCACACAATATCCTTGAAACCCTATTGTACACATCCTTCCAACTACCCCAACGAATCTCCAAGGCTAGCTGCTTCGCACGCCATGCCTTTCCTTACTTAGGAGCATAACCTATGAAGCCAAATATTGACTGAATCAACAAGGACACCAAAATGTCGCTATCATCATCCATGAGGCCCAATATGTGACGGGCTAGGTAACATGATGTAAGTTGAGAATGTTTCGTCTTCCCCTTATTTGTTATACTTGTGTGATGTTGAACTACTTTCCTTATCCTCGATTTCCCATCGTTTTCCTTCTTGCGATCCAATACCTTCCAAAGATGGCCTTGCTTGCATATTACGTAGTACCTCTTGTTTTGATCCAAATGTGTAATAGTGTAGGGCCTAGAGGGATGCGCCACATAGTCCTAAAGAAAGAGCTTCAGCTCTGACATTGTATTGAGTACCATCCCCTCGCTAATGATCATTTTGATGGTCATATGATGATTTCCTACACAACTGCAGCCCGATGTCGTAAACAACCTTATCGATCAAGCTAATGTCCCTATAGTTTTGAACGCTAGAAACATGTACATTGACCGATCTTAGTTGCATCATCTCAGTGGCTGCGTGAGGCTCTAAGGGCATGTACTGTCGTTCTTCGCTCAACCTCAGCCATGAATCGTAGTTAGTGCCCTCCTCTACATGAGTAGGAATAGGCACATCTCTAACTCCTCTCTCATCAACTGGTCTGAGGTAATGGTTACCTTCATCTTCTCTATGATCACCATCTGAGTCTTCTGAACTAGTGCTATCATCATTAGCAATCCTTCCTCATATTGCTCCCTCTCGTCCTACTCGAATGAACACATATCAAAGTCGTTGTTCACAACAGCTCCTACATACCACATAGATTCATCAATTGCCATTGGAGAAGACTAAAGTGGCTCCTACATCAATCGACGTGGAGCTCGAATTGATGTTCATCTCATCCAACGCCTCCAAAGGACAACAAATAATCCTTCCTATGTCCATTCTCCATAACTACCTCAAGCAATGTCACATTTGATCCTTGGATTACCATTTTGTAGTGCAACCAATGATTCTCATTGTATAAGGGCAATAACATGTAGTGTGACCTACTCTTCCCACTATCAAACCTCGATCCCCTTCAATGTGAAATCACCATCAAACTTCACCTTAACCTACCAAATAAGATCGCTAAAGCTAGAAGGCATGTCAAACATTTCCACTTCATGTTGCATATTCTCAAACTCTCCATCTTATCTAACACTTCGCGAAACAAACAAACTAAACAATCCATCTTCAAAACCATTTAAGCAAACTACATCAAGTCTTTAAAATGATTCTAAGGATTATAATGTATACATTATAACTAAACATAACCAATACGTACTAACTAAATATAACCTAAATTAACTAACTAAATATAAACTAATATAACAAACAAAATAAAAACTTTACATTAAATCTAATATAACTAACCTAAACTAGGTAACTTACTAACTAAAACCTACACATACTACCCTACACATAGATCGATGCTAACCTACACAAACAAACAAACTAAATATAAACTAAACATATTAACTACATATTCTAACATACATGCTAACCTACACACAGAGCACATGCAACTACATGTACATGTAAAAATCGAGGGCAGATCGTAAACACAAGTTTCTAAACATATTCGATATACCTAAAGTACCTAGCTTCCCAAATCAAACACTACTACAGAAAAACCTATGCGAGGTGTTTGAGAAATGGCCTCAGAGGCAGGCGGCCATTTGAACCACCACGGCTAATGCCTAGGATTAACTGAGGCGGTCAAAATCAACCGCCTCACAAAATGGATTTACGGAGGCGGTTAAAAAATAACCGTCTCCTAAAATCCATTAACGGAGGCAGGCCTCCAAAAATACCCCCCATTTTTGGAGGCGGGCCTCCGATTAATATTCCTGAGGCCCAGCCAAAGCCTAATCCAACTTTCTACTGGGTTTATATAAATTGAGGAGTTAGGGTTTCTCCACCAGCCCCTCACTCTCTCGGCTCTCTCTCACGCCCCCAAAACAGCGGTGCATGGCTCGACTCCCTCTGCCCTCGGTCGCATGATGTGAGACCCTCCCTCCAGTCTCCCCCTCTCACTCTCCCTCCCTCGTCGGTGCTCGCCTCGAGCGTCTCACCTCTTCCGGCGGCGCCACCCCTCTCCTCCCTCTCCCTCACCGGGCGGATCTGGAGGCCGAAAGGAAGAGCTCGTGGACGCGGCGGCCTAGCCGTCTGGCGACGCAGCCTCGCGAGCCCGGTGGCCCGGCCTCGCCCCTAATCCACGATGACGCTCCTCCTCCCCATGCCCTCCTCCTCCCCTGCTGTTGGAGGCGCGACTGGCCCCTCTCCATCTCTGGACAGCTCCTTCGGGTCCAGCAAGGATGAGCCCTCCTCCGAATCCGGCGAGGATGAGCCTAGATCCAACGAGGAGCTCGGATCCGACAGTGCTCGTGCGGCGGCGGCGGATCTAGCGAGGAGGACCTCGGATCCGGTGGTGCTCGTGCGGCGGCAGCAGATCCGGTGAGTGGCCCCTCCAGCACGCACTCCATCAGCGGTGCACGTGGCACGAGGCGCTCCGATGGGCGCTCCGGCGAGCAAAGGTGGCCCATGGATGGACTCAGTGGGCCTGTGGGTGGGCTCGTTGGCTTGTCCATGGGTTTTCACTTTTTTTTTAATTTTTTATTTGATCAACCGAGGCGGGCAACCAACTGCCTCGTTAAGGCTAGATTAACCGAGGTTGGGATGCCCGCCTTGGTTAAGTTTTACGTAGTAGTGAACATTTTCTTCTAACCCTAACTAGCAATGAGGTTCTTTGAATCAACCACGGAAAGACCAAATGAGAGGGATAAAACCTTTCCTTAGGGTGGAAGGCTGGGGGCGACCTCCCCTAGTCCCCGGTGGAGATGGAGGCCAGCGGCGGCAGCTCAAGCTACAGGTAGGGGCACATGTGGGAAGAAGGAAGGGATGGGGGAGAGAGAGAGAGAGAGAGTGGGAGGCTGGACGGAGTGCGGAGGCTTGGGGCAACCTCTCCCAGTCCCCGACAGGAGATGGAGGCCGGGAACAGGCTTTGGAGGGCGGCGACGGCGGTACACGCTAGAGGAAGAGGGTATGTGGAGGAAGAAGGAAGGTAGGGAGAGAGGCCGCACCCGTGGCTTTGTATCCACCCCTACCACGTGCAAGTCGTTGGCAAGGCAGGGGAGGCCACGTCAGCCGGCCAACCGCCGCCTGACCTGCCACAGTGGCGCCCCTGCCTTGCCAGGCTAGGTGGCGCGTCACAATAGTTTGCATTGGCCGCGCCAAAGGAGATGTGTGCGGCCAAATGTGTTAGTTTTAGAAAAACCAATGCTGTTATTTTTAGAAATAGTTTTAAAAAAGGATTAAAAATAAAAAGATCACGGCCGGATACATAGCATTGAAACATTTTTGAAGATGTCTCTACATCATGACGTCATATTGGAAACATGCCTGGAAGGCTAATGAAGGCAGTCCGGTCCTAAAATGATGCTTGTGACATGAGAAATCTAGAAAGAGCGTAATTCAAGAGTTTTATCATGTCAAAAGAGTTTTATAATGTCAAAACTCCAGTGCAGAAATGACAATTGGAAAGATCAAGGAGGCAAGAACTTGGTGTGTGACGGGAGCAAGGCGGCTGCGGCAAATTGTTCCTAGAGTCTAGAGAGTAAACCAACATGAGTGTGGGCGGTGGTCCGTAACGGGCCGTGCCTTGTAAGTTGTTACGGTCTCTAGTATGCTAGACAAAACTCTTGCCGGCTTCTTAAAAGACAATTCTTAATGGCATTCAGAAGATATAAATAAATTGAAATGAAATATATAATCACCATGTTCGCTGATGCTGAAATTTGGCTTATGCTGATGCTTATGCTGAAATATTGTGAGAGAAAAACATTATTCTATAACTGAAAAGTAGTTCTGAATAAGCTCAAGCGAACATTTATAATATCGTATAATACAACAAAAATTTAAATATGCCTATAGTAGCATCTGTACAAGCCTGAACCCCATCACAAAGTAGCTTAAACGGCGGTTGCACTACATTATCTCACTACAAGAGAATTGCTAGCGAATACGCCGGCAACTAACAGTCACGCCTGCCAAACTGCAAAGTTCTGTCGCATAAACTCTAGTCTCTAGCTAGACCCTCGTCATATCGAGAGCTATTTTTTGTGCTTGTTATTGTTCCTGATCATCATCGACGACATTGCCGCTAGCTGCCACCGGAGGTTGCGTTCGCGTGGAAGAGATCAAGACGGTTGTGGCTGAGGCGGAGCGCGTACATGGCCGTCTTGTACTCCGCCCATGTAAAGGTCGTGTACCGCCGCGGCACGCCGGCAGTCACCGTCTCCGGGAGCGCTGTGATATGGGCGTCGAGCGGCTGTGCGGCGAAGTAGATGGTGGACAGGCACGGCCTGGTGGTCCTGGCCATCACCCTGTGCCGGATGCTCACCAACCGCCCATTTGTCAGGGCCTACACATTGCCAAGCACTGCATCGCAATCAACAAGATATTATTGTTGTGTGACTGTCAATTTTAAGAAACATGGTAGCACAGCACGGACCTAAAGGAGATCACCGACGTTGATGAAGAAGGCGGACGGGTCAGCCGGCACCTGGACCCACTGGTCGCCGCCGCCGTGGCCGTCGGGCAGCAGCACCTGTAGGCCGTCGACATTGTTGGCGCAGAGTAGGCTGAGGATTTGCAGGCCAAGATGCTCCCACTACTACAGAAATGATTAGTAGGTGCGGCTGGTTAGGCTTTGTAGAGGTGGCTCGACCAGCCGTCTCTACCGTACCGTCTCTACAAATCATGCATTTGTAGGGGCGGTTCCTAGACCGTCCTTACAAATTGATTTGTAGAGGTAATTTGGTGTTATCAGCCGCCTCTATAAACCTGTTTGTAGGGGCGGTTCAGTCTAGAACCGCCCCTACAGTACATTTTTCCGTAAAAAAAAATCAAATTTACAATTCAAATTCGACCAGAAAACACACACACACACATATATATATATATGTATGATTCAAATATGACCAGAACATATATAATTTAAATCTGACCACAAGCACAAGAGCATTATATAAACTACCATTAAAAGTCCAATTCACAAGAATATATACAAGAATATATGCAAGACATAATTCACAAGTCTAATTCGTTCCACAAGTCCAAACCGTCCCACAAGGTAAGACCAATGTTAAATTCTATTCACATTGTTATCGACGGTCTAGAGCTAGCCTTTCAGTTTCACGAATGTGTTGGTACTGAGGATTTTTACATAAGTCAGAATCTCGGTCATGGTAGGTGCCTTTGATGTGTATAATCTGGTCCAATATGAAGGTGCAAAGGTCGCCGACGAGCTCTAAGAGTTGGTCATCCTTGTATGGGTCTCTTTTCATTTCTTTCTCTTCTTTCCACTACAAGAGAACAAGTTTTGGTTTAGTATTTCATATTATGTGCGAAGTTTTTATACTACGGGTGAAGAGGTTCAAACTTACTCTTAAGGGGTGTCTCCTATAGGCACCGATGTTACTCATCATAGAACATACATTGTATCCACAATGTACACTCCCAGACTTCTGCTTAGGGCACTGTGTGTTTTGCATATGGAAATGTTAAGTAATACTTTTGACAGCCATGTAATGGAGTACTAAAGTAAGTTACACTTATCGCACATAGTGTTTTTATAGCTAGCCTTTCCTTCCTTACTGTATCATGCCTTCTATGATGTTCATTGACATAGAACCTGAATGCCCTGTTCGAATTATTTTAGCAAATGCAACTTGTTAGTATCCAAAAGTGAACGTTATAAGCATGTATACAAACATATAAGCTAATGAGGATTATCGATATGTATAAGTCTTGAGAATCGATGTGAAGTCTTTGTATATCACCAGGTCTCTATCTATTGAATCAAAGACCCATGCCATGCTCCTCCCGACATCGACACCTATACAAATTCAGTGGTTGCTAGATGAATTTAATCATAAAACTAGATAAACTCTTTTGCATCGAATAAAATATATCGAACAAAGCTTTAAGTATAGAGTTGAACTTACTCGAAGTTGTATGGTAGTCATATATGAAAGCATCTAGGCCCCTAAGTGGATTTCGGTGATTAATGTCAATACAAGATTACTATGACTAACGTGTGTTTTGCAGAGGCAATTAAGTTAGGTCAAGTTAATGGAGATCGATTGGGCAATTGAGGTTGTCATGCCCCTACGATGGAAATCATTTCGGTTTTCAAAGGATGGACGACAAGGTTAAGGATAACTAGTTCTAAGTGTCAATTGAAGTTGGAGAGACACTTAGAGTAGTTTAGGACTTTGTTTTTTCCCTTGGCCGTACTATGAAGGGGGGTATGAACGGGTAGCTTGACCTAGTTGAGTCTAGTGAGTTAGGTGTGGTGCACACTTGTTAAAACTAGCTCTAGGTAGCTCATATGAATGCCTAAGATCCTTTGGAGCAAACTTCATTCACATATGATAGAGAGTTGGAAGTGAATGGAGGGTCAAATACTGACCGGACGCTGGCTCCGGTGCGACCGGACGCTGGCCGCAGGGTCCGGTCAGTTCATTTGACTGAGGAGAACAAGTCTGGAGTGACCGGACGCTGGAAGGTCGTGTGACCGGACGCTGGGGGCCACTGTCCGGTCGACTCCAGTAAGGGTCCAGACTTGAGAAAGTGTGACCGGACGCGTCCGGTCAGTGGTGACCGGACCCTGAGTATCCAGCATCCGGTCGATTACAGTAAGCATCCAAGATCGACCGGACACGTACGGTCAGTGCTGACCAGACCCTGTCAGCGTCCGGTCATCACTTGGAAACTGTTGCACGGGTTGAACTGACCGGAGCGTCCGGTCAATATGATCGGAGCGTCCGGTCATACCGCAGAAGCTCATAACGGTTCATTTTTCAGGCTGCCTTATAAATAGAAGCTCCACTTGAGTGTGGAGTTACTTTTGCTCATTCCGACAGCTGAGAAACACGTTTGTGAGTGCCAAGAAGAGCAAGGTCCTAGTGAGGTGTTTGTGATTTGAGAATCCAAGAGTGAAACCTCATTAGTGAATCAAGAGTAGACAAGTGTGCATCCATCTTCTCATTAGACTTCGCATGGTCAAGTGAGAGTTCGTGCTTGTTACCCTTGGTGATCACCATCACCTAGACGGCTTGGTGGTGATTGGGAGCTTGGTGATCACCCGGCGGAGCTTGTGGGTGACCCAACTCAAGTTGTGAGCGGTTTTGGGTGATTCGCCGCGACGGAGTGTCGAAGAATCAACCCATAGAGAGCACTTGATCCTTGCGTGGATCAAGGGGGAGCTACACCCTTGCGTGGGTGCTCCAACGAGGACTAGTGGAGAGTGGCGACTCTCCGATACCTTGGCAAAACATCACCGCGTTCCTCTCTCCATTTACTTTGAGCATTTACTTTAAGTATTTACTTTGAGCAATTCAATACTCGTCTTTACATTCATCGAATTGCTATGCTAGAGTAAGTTTGGAACATAGGTTGCAAGTCTTTTGTGCATTGATTTGATAGAAACACTTTGTCTAGGCACAAGGGGTTAATTGGGCTATCCGTAGGATTTGATTATTGCAAGAAAATTCAGAATTAGCCCAATTCACCCCCCCTCTTGGGCATCTTGATCCTTTCAATTGGTATCAGAGCCTCGTGCTCACGTTTTTAAGCCTAACCGCTTAGAGCAAGATGTCTCACGGGATGGTCCTCCTCCTATCTTCGAGGGGGATGATTTTCCATATTGGAAAATTCGCATGGAGGCTTACCTAGAAGCTCTAGATGTTGGAATTCTTAGAGCCTCCTATCAAGGGTTCACAACACCTAAGAATGCCGCACAACTCCAAGGTGATGAAGTAAACTATGAAAAATGGAATGCAAAGGCTCGCAACACCATCTTTAGAGGCCTTTGCAAAGATGTGTTCAATCGTGTAAGGAACCACAAAGACGCCCATGTTCTATGGTCGGACGTTTGTGCGCTCCATGAGGGAACCAAGAGTGAGCGTGAGGAATGCTATCATCTTGTGATTAAAAAGCTAAATTCTTTTGAGATGCTTCCCAAAGAAAGTGCTAATGAAATGTATTCTCGTTTAAATGTTCTTGTAGAGGAAGTCAATGGGCTTGGACTTACTCAAATGTCACCATCCGACGTTGTGAGAAAGATCTTGAGTGTCCTCCCCATTGACAAATATGGGCACATTGTGACCGTGCTACATCAAGGTGATCTTTCCACCGCTACACCGACACAAATCTTGGGAAAGATCAATGCTCATGAGATGTACATGCACATCACGCCACAAGATGGCTCATCCTCTACAAAGAAGAAAGAGAAGGACTTAGCATTCAAGGCTAGCCAAGATAAGGGCAAGGCAAGACTTGAGTATGAGAGCTCAAGTGATGAAGATGATGAAGTAAGTCTTGCTCTCATGGTGAAGAAGACCGCCAAGATGCTAAAGAAGATAAACAAGAGTGGCATCAAGTTTGACGGCAAGAAGAAGTTCTTCACTAGCTCAAGAAGAAAGCCAATCTCCGAGATGGATTGCTACAATTGTGGCGAACTTGGCCACCTAGCTCATCAATGCACAAAGCCCAAGAAAGACAAGTTCAAGAACAAGGGCAAGAAAGATGATTCAAGTGATGAAGATGAAAAGAAAAAGAACAAGCCATACAAGAAGAGAGATGGCAAAAAGAGAGACTTCTACAAGAAGAAGAAGAGTGGCAAGGCCTATATTGTCGGTGATTGGCTCACGGACATTGATTCATCAAGTGGATCATCCGATGATGAGAGTGATAATGAGAAGGTGGCCGCCATTGCTATTGATCTTGCATCCTCACCGCCACCATCGCTATCATCCTCTACACACCTATGCCTTATGGTCAAGGGTGAACGCAAGGTAACTAAAAGTGATGGTAGTAGTGATGATGAGCAAGCTAGTGATGATGATAGCGATAGCGATGATGATTCACCCACATATGATGATCTTGTCAAAATATTAAGAAAATACACTAAGATCATTAGAAAGAGTAGAGCTACAAATGAAAAACTTGATGCTAAAAATGATTCACTCTTAGCTAAGTGTGATACATTAGAAAAGACTAATGATGAGCTCAAAGAAACAAATGATTCTATATCATCCAAACTCAAGGAGCTCAAATCTTCTAAGAAAGAGCTTAAAGATAAACATGATAAACTTGAGTGGGTGCACAATGAGCTTATCACTAGTCACAACAAGCTAAAAGATGAATATACAACTCTAAAGATCAATTATGATACCCTTGTTATTGCACAAGAATTCTTACCAAATGAGCCACATGTTGCTACTAACCATGTTGTTAAGATTGATATAGCTACCTCATGTGATGATTTAATTGATGAGAGCATTGAGCATGGATCTAGTAGCAAAGGCAAGCAAG